TTCATCCTGTCAGTGTCCACTACTGTGGCATTAAGAGTGGCATTGAAATGACTGAAATCCGACTCAGGGGCTAGCCTAAGACACACGATTCCCACCATAATGCTGAGAACAGCAAAAGTACCTAGACATAGAAAGTAGGGTGTCACATCTATTTTCCTTGCCATATTGCAAAGCGGGCAAAGTCAGGCTCAGTGCAGCACCATGCAGCTCTGGTAACTTATCACTGTCATCACACAAAATTGCTGTAGATAAATCATTCTGATTTACCTGGGACCATCTGGTGAGCAGTGCCCATGAAGAAATATGGGATGAGGGGGAAGAAAGAGGAATAGAGACCATTGACAGGAGGAAGATTTGCAAGGAGAGCAAAAGCCATGCCTGGAAAGAAAAGAAGCTGTCAAATAAATAATAAAAAATAACACAAAAACTGTTATCCACTCCACCAGCTAGCATCAGTCAAAGGCTGTTATACAGAGTTATCTGAGAGTAGAAGATTGACTGACCTTGGGGAACCTGAATGGTGCCGGCGCTGACCCCACTAATGACATCACACAGCAGGTTTTCTTTTACTTTGTACTTGGGAAGCCAGCTTAGAACCGGCAGGTGTTTAAGTAACAATCCTTTGAGCCTGGGTACAGAACATCTAACACAAAAAAACAAAAAACTGTCTTAGAAGATCTCTGGTTTTCTGCTTGTTCATTTATAAAAGTCAATAACACACATGTTAACTTGAGTTCTAGTTATGTATCCCCGTGCTTTTGAATATAATACAGAGGCTTATCAGAAGAGTTTGTGTGAGAGAAAAGCACGTTGTTCATGTTGACTGTGCAGTAAGATTGCAGTTCGGTACCTGAAGAGTTTCTTTACTTTTTCTCCAACAGGGAACTGTCGACTCTTTTTGTCAAATTCTCTGTCAAAGTCAGGGAGGTTATATGCCGGCCTGTCAATCACATAACGTGGGTTTTCCTGTTGCATGGCTACAACATAGCAAAATATATTAAGCAGGCAGATATTTTATGCAATGTCTTCAAAGTGAAATTTAACACATTAATATAATAAGTCATTTGGTGTCTTTTTTGTTTAAATTTGTCATTAATTCATGAAAGTATCCATAAAAACTCAACAGCATACCTGGAACTTTATACTTCACCTTTCCCGATACTAAACCTGGCCCATATTTTAAGTGTAAGGTCCTTATCTAACCTTGATGAATGAAAGATCAGCCAAAACTTCACGGGACTAATAAAATGTTTGATCTACACTGGGTAAATAAAAGATCATGCACAAGTTTATTTAGTCCTCAGTAATCCTTTTCTCCATGCAGGAGAAAAACTTATGTTATTTTTCACCAGAATGACAATACAATACATTATGAATACACAGATATTTTTACTTTTTATATTGAACAGATGATCCAACAGCTGTCAGTTGTAATTGTTGTTATATTTTTATAAACTGTTAAACACTAAACAGGAAAAAAAGATTTTAAAGAAATAAAGCTAAAAAGAGATATAACTGCATTAAGAAAATGAAATTAGATTTAGCCTTTTTGTCTAATAAATAAATCTCCAATATGGAAATACTGTGTGAATAATATATCTTATCAATATCACAACCTAGGGATATTACATTACATCTCTTACATATAACCTGTTAATGTAAATAAGCGATTCCTAACAACTGGTGTATGCCTGTAGTGTGACTGATTGCAGCTGACTAAAATGCCGTGTGTAAAGGCAAACACAATTAGACAGATGTTAAAGCTCAACATAAAAAAAGAAATTTTGTTGTACAATGTTAAATAAAAAACAGAAATTTTAAGACATTGTACTTACTTTTGCCTTGCTTACTCTTGAAGCACGTCTGCAGATGTTTGACTCAAATGAGACTTGTTTGATTACTTTTGAAGTAATGCTAAAGACCTTCTACACCTGCTGGGTGGAGCTTAAAAGGATAAAGCCTGGTGCATGCACGCTTACTGTGAAATACACTACACAAAAATTTAAAGAAACACTTTCAAACACATAATGAAATCATAAGGATGCCACATCATTTAATGAAAATTATCATTATCAAACCATAGATGGCTGAATTCAAAGACAACAAAAAAATCCAAGTGAAAAAATAATACAGCATGCAAGTCCATTATGCTGAATTTTCATTGTAGCAACTCAAAATTGTATTCAGATGTATGTGAAGGCCCAAGATATGCATACGTGACAACGTCAGGGGATGCTCCTAGCGAGACCATGGATGGTGTCTTCTGGGGATCTCCTCCCATATCTGGACCAGATGACTAAGCTACTGGGCAGTCTGAGGTAGCATCGAATGGACCAAAACATAATGTCCCAGAGCTGTTTTACTGGGTTTCAGCCAGGCGAGCGTGAGGGGCAGTTAGCTGTTTCAGTTCCTTTATCTTTCAGGAACTGCTTGCATACTCCTGCCACATGAGGCCAAGCACTGCCTAGCCAGTAGAGGTCTGTCCGTCCATCCACAATCAAACCAGTCATGCTGAACAATGTTACCAGAAAAATAATGTTCTCCATGGGATCTCCTGACCTTTTAACATCTGGTCTCATCTATTAAAAGTACAGGAACCAGTGCTGGACTCCCAATTCCGGTAATATTTGGCAATATACTAATCAGGCTCCACAGTGTCAGGCAGTGAGCACAGGGACCACTAGAGGGCGTTGGGCCACCCTCATGAAGACTGTGCCTCATTGTTTGGTCTGAAACATACACACCAGTGGCCTGCTGGAGGTAATTTCATAGGGCTGCAGCAGTGCTCATCCTGTTTCTCCTTGTACAAAGAATCAGATACTGGTCTTGCTAATGAGTTAAAGGCCTTCTATTGCCCAGTCCAGCTCTCCTAGAGCTTACATTCTCCTCCATGCTTTGGAGACTTCCCTGGCAAAGCGTTCTAGCAATGACACACACTGATGTGCTGTCCTGGGAGAGTTGGACTACCTGTGCCGACTCATGATACCAGTAATGATGCTGACTCTAGCAAAATGCAAAACCAGTGAAAAAAGTCATCAGAAGAGATGAGGAAGGAAAAATGTCAGCTTCCATCTATAAAAACATTCCTGTTTGAAGGCTTGTCTCATTGTTGAATTTCACTAAAACAAATTAAATAAAACTGATTAACAATCCCTCTGCTACTTAACTGACCACATCAATGTCCCAGAAATTTAACTGACTTGATGGTATACTCTGACTGAAGTGTTCCTTTAATTTATTGAGCAGTGTAGTTAAATTGGTTAAACTTCTGATTGCCGAATGTGCCGTTTCATCAGTGTGCTACCGAGCAAGGACACAAGATGTAATTACCAATAAATGTATTTTAATAGGTTCAGTTTCTATATACATGTAGCATCCTGATATTCATACTTATCAACAGAAACACACAAACAAAAATACAACTTTACATATTTTATGGGAAAAGGGTAGACATAAGATAGAGCTGGAACTAAACCAATTACAAACCAGTTTAATTTGGCGAATACAAGTAATCCTGCTAACTGCAACAAAATGATACATACAAACACCTTCTTTTCACAAAAAAAGGGTGAGACAGCCATGACAATGTGTAACACATGATTTTGTCCCATTGTATTAGAATTTGTGTGCAAAACAATGGCATCAATATCATAGACTAAAGTGCAATTATATAGTAGTTCCATTTGTGTTTTCTCTAAAAGAGGAATGCCAGACTTCAGATAACCTCTCGACATAAAATGAAAGTCTCCCTCTGGTGGAACAAAAAGAAAAGCACAAACTTCACATGAAGGCATCGCCTTCAAGAATGAGAGAACAATCGAGCAGTTCTTCCTTTCTTACAGAAGCATGAATGTTCTTAACATTTCACATGACAGAAAGCTTTCGATGAGAACACAAAACTTTATATCTGCAGCTAAATTTCCAAAAACATAGTTCAACGAATAAATTGACAATGACAGAAATGTTATGAGAACCAGTTATTTTCCAAACAAAAACTGTGAAAAGCTGAGAGTACTGTTTGTGAATGGTGCCAACAGTAGTAAAATGCTGCAAGTACTGGTGATACGTGGCTACATGTAGCAACATGTACATGGACTTGTAGGGGAAAAAATATAAAGAAGTGAGTGTATACATTTTTTCATGAGTCTGTATAAAACCAATGCCGCAGAGGATTTTCATCAAAAAGTAGGATGCACATAAAACATATTTAACTCATCTAAGACAGACATTTGTATCTGTACACAGAAGTGAAGGTGAACAAGTTTCAGTTAAGTTTATATAAACAAAACGTTCTCGATAATGTTGCCATTTTTGTTAGTGCACTGCAACAGCTTGATCTTTGTAGTAATGCTTCACACATAATGTTTAGTCGTGATACTAAAATAACAAGCGCTAATAGCAATAGCAGAGTAGTGCAGCAGAATAAAGAACTTGGTATTGAACAGTGGTATTGGTATTGTCTAGCAAATCCTGGACTATAATGACTATAAAACACTTCTCAAACATTAAGTCAGTGACTATCAGGAGATATGAGTATTCTGCAGTTGAGTGCTGACTATTTGAGAGCTAATTTGGATGAAAACAATCACTCGCTGTCAAGCTAGTATAACTTTTAAGGTAAATGGTTTTAATTTTGGTTTCGATTTTATGGTTGAGTATTTTAACTTTCATTTGAAACACTAATCACTGGATTAAAAGCCTGTTATGGAGGGGATTTTCTGACTGTTTAAAAATGAAACAATCCAAAGATGTAGCTGTTTAAAACCACCTGCACGTCTCAAATGTCCTCCACAAATTCATTCAAAAGCAGCTGACGTTTTCAGAGGTTTACAGTTTCTACAGGACTGTAGCACGTAGGCCATTAAAAGTGGGAGAACAGGTTACTATGCAAATACAGAGCTTGTTAAGCAAGTGCAGCAAATGCAGCACCATGTGATAAAAGTCTGATGATTTTTTTTTTTTTTAATCTAGCCATGTCTGCTTTTCCTCTTCTTTATTATAAAAGCTCATTGTCCATCTCCCGCTGGCAGCCTAAAACCCCTTAAGTCCACCAAAGTCTTTAAAATGAGTACTGACTAAAAATCACTGAGGATGCTGATGTCCGCAAACTCCTGGCGGTAATTGTATGAGTAGTAGGCCAAGAGGGAAGACCATTTGAGGGTCAGAAAGCTCCACACACAGGAGAGGTAGAAGCTCTTCGGGTCAGTGAAAGCTGTGGGACAGAAAAAACAAGGTGGTTACTACTAGAGTTACAACAATCCTCACCTCTCTGAGTATTTGAATTGTCAGTCACTTATTTTAACATAAATGAACAACAATACAAAATTCATAAAAAAAATAAAAATAAAAAACAAGGAACAGAAGAGACAAGATTACATTGCTTCTGTGCGATGGCCATAGTTAGGAAGATAATAAAGGCAGCCACAGCCAAAACTGAGAAGAATACTCCAACAGCGATGAAGAATCTAAGACCCTTGAGCCAGGTTCGCCAGTAGTCCTGACGGTACATGATGTGTGTGATGAGAGCCCAGAGCGCTAAAACTCCTGTCAAGACAGAAAAACACAGGTTTCGATTGAGTATGATAACACTGCAGCTTGAAGACTACAGAAAACCACCACGTGACAGTAATTTATGGAAATTACAGTGTTGTAATAGAATGTAATAGACTACTCCCATACAAAACAAGAAAAGACTACTATTTTAGAAATTTTCTGCAAAAAATTTGTTTTAAAATAAAATTTACATAATATTCAGAAATGCAAGTAAATCACTTAAATTACTCAATTATTAAAGTTAATTAAAAAAGAACAATACGGTTTTTCTACTTGAAAGATAAATAATTATAATTTAGCATTAAAAATATCATTACAAATTTTTCAAAAAAAAAAAAATCATAATGTACCAATAATGCATTGTATTTTATAAAGATTTCAGTGACGGACTAAATTTTAAGAGTCGTTATATGATTATGGCGCTTAACTGTCCAGGCCTGCATCGCGATTAGGATGCCTGACATGGCTAAATGCGCCGATATCCCGTGATAAAGTCATTAACTGTTTGCAGTGTTTTTAGTTAATGCTATGTGTTTCAACATACCTGACAGGCCTCCCATAGCCGCCGTCCATGGTTGTTTATATGCGATATTCCAGACCAAGAAAGCCGACAGTCCAAACACAGTACCAACAGTAGCATATCCTATTTTAATGTATATGTTGGTGACTCCCATGTTGGAATATTGCTACTGTTAGCCAACGTTAGCACCGTCGTCGAAGATAAAGGAGTATTTTTTTTCCCTCAAAACAAACTATTATTGGGTTAAACCACAGCTTACTGCCACATTATGCAATACCCTAAGCTACAGGAAAAGGACGAAATGAATTTCCCCTCCGCTAAAGAGGACCCAGGGAGAGACCGACAGCTATCCCTGCTAGCAAAACTCTATTTCGAAATAGAGATCAGTCACTTCATGTGCCTTGTACGTAATACAAAGACGAAAATGGCGTTAAGATTTCCAGCTAGCAAGCAACATCAAAATAACAACAGACGAGCTTATCCGATATACGCCGCAAAGATGTTAGGCTATCATCGAGAAAACAAAACCACCCCGGAGAGCTGCCTCTTCAGCTGCAGAGGAAATATTTATTTCAGGAAAAAACTTTCGTTATTGGTCTTTACCTGCCACTCGCTGTTACACAACACAGGACAAACAAATGAACTAGCATTGCTAGTTCAGGGAAAAAACGAATTTCTATGCTCTGTTTACAAAAATTTGCCATACTATCACCTCCCCTTTAAATATCTTTGTACAGAGGAAACCCCCTTCTTATCGACACACCGCCCCTAGTGGAGCAAAGAGAAACTGCATTTCTCTTAGACTTCTCTAATGGAGCTTTGTAGAATTAAATGTGTTGTGCAAAGTTGCAGGCACTGAAAACAAAATAGGAATTTATAAATTTTTAATTTGTTTATTAACTTCAACCCATTGCCTTTAGTGTTTGTGTGCACTGCACTCTCTGGGACTTTTGTTTTGAGCACCTTAAAGACCTTTGCGCAACTATTCTGCAAATTTGAACAGCTTTAATGTATTATAATTTAACAAATGTCAGAGGTGATTTGTGAAAGAAGGACAAAACCAAGAGTGAAAGGGAGGGTTTACAAGATGACAGTGAGACCTGCAATGATGTATGGTTTGGAGACGGTGACACTAACAAAAAAGACAGGAGGCCAAGCTGGAGGCCTGCTAAGATTTTCACTGGGAGTCACCTGGATGGAGAGGATAAGAAATGAGGATATCAGCGGGAAAGTTTAGGTTCAACAGTTTGTGGACAAAGTTAGAGAGACAAGGCTGGGTTGGACATGTGCAGAGGAGGAATATAGGGATATTTGAATATGAAGCTGGTAAGTAGGATGAAAAGATGAAGACTGCAGAGAAGGTTAATGGGTGTATTGAAAAAGTACATACAGGGGGCTGGGTTATCAGAAGAGAATGCTAGGAATCGGGGAAGATAATCCACCGTGGGGACCCCTGAAGGGAGCTCCCGAAAGAAGAAGTGTCATGATTACTTGATCAGGTCTCTGAAGACAATTTTATGTTGAATGCTTGATGCTTGAATGCATGATGCTTGATCAGATGTACTTTTGATAAATAAGAATGTAAGCATCTAAAATCCCTATAACTTATACAGTGCTGTAGTGCTGTTCATACATTTGCATTTTGGTCACACACAAAAAACTAACTGACCTGAGATGAATTTTTAGTTTGTCTCTTTTCTTTCTGTTTAATGCATTAGAAGTTTATGAGTAAAATGTCAAATGTTTATGTGGCCATAAGGTCAGACAAATATATCACAGTATTTTCCTGCACAAATGGACATGTGTTAACGCAGCTGCACACAGAAAAGAATAACACCAAAGACTGTATTCAAAGTAAATCATGGCTCCTGGCTAACAGTGGCAGGCATGAAGCAGTTTTCCCGTGGAAAAACATAATGTATTTATAATCTCACTATGAATGGAACAGTGATAAGGATGTATAGTAAAGCGTACTGACTTTTTTTCTCAGAAGCTGAGCCTCATAGATTTCCTGTGGTTGTCTGCAGCTCGTCTACAGTCGAGACTGTTAAACAAGAAAACCACATAACCTAGTTCTGATGAACTGCAATTCACATTGCTTAGATTCAAATTCTGTCTTCATATTCTCACATACATTGCCATGTATCAGTGCTGTACTAAGCCCATGCCCCCGGGCACTCTTTTCAGGACCAATCAGAAAGACACAGGAAGCTGTGTCCAGTAGCACTCCCCGTAACTCACATAAAGTACCCTGACTGAGAGACATATGATAGAAGCGAAGGCTAGAAAAGGAAAGCAGACAAATTAAAGAACTGAAGTAATCAAACTGAAGAATCTTATAAGACTGCGACATTGGTGAGTTACTGATTGCAGAGCAAAGGATTGTGTGGAATTGTGGCAGACCATTTGGTTCGTTGTGCTAATTAATGAATATTATATGTCTATTTTAATCATAATATCTTGTGCTTTACAAAGCCCCTGCTGATTTGTCTGACAGGGTTTTAAGGATAATTTCAGTCTATAAAGGCACTTTTCCATCACAGGTGTTCAAATTCTAGTTTTTCTCCAAATAATATATTTAAATTGTTACTTTTTAGTATTTGAAACTAAGTCGGTAATGTAAATGTCAACATGTGACTGCACAGCGGGGATTAGAAGTGAAAGAACGTGGTTGACAAATGTGAAAGTGTTGCAGTGGGTGCAGAAATATTGTCTCCAACTGCTTTAATGTCTTTGCTTATGTGTGCTCTGCTTTCTGCTTCACCCCTCCATAGACCATAAGGTCAAACAGATCAAACACGTATTTCCCTGTCACTGCTAACTGGCTTGGATAAAGGAAGGAAAATGTGTGTTAGTGCACGCACATGTGTGTGTTTATGTGTGTGTGTGCGTGTGTGTGCGTGTGTGTATGGAGAGACACTAGACAGTCACAACAAAGACTACTGGCAAAGTACATTCCATGGGTGTGTTGCAGGAAATCCCACTCCCATTCCCGAAGGATCTAAATAGAAACACACGCACACAAATAAATACAACTTTAGAGACAGAAACACAGAGAGAAGCGCTGCACATAAAACAATCCATTATAGTTTGATGGTGTAATAAAATTAAGTCTATAACATTCTATAACTAATGCTTGCATTTTTTTTTTTTATTTCATTTTGAGCATTCTTTATAAGAAACTGATCAGCGAGTTGCTCAATTTCTAAATACCCTATGAATTGCTTTGCAGGGCATGTGCATCATCAATAGGGGGCAGCATTTATTTTCAAAGTGCCAGCCTGGAATGTGATACGCAATGCAGACCTGGGTCCATAAGAGTTCAAGGTGTCAACAGTCTAAATTCAGTCTACCTTGAAACTTGGAGCTTTTTGCTGGTTATATTCTCTGGAGCTAAAACAAGGTCACCTAAATCTCCAAACGAGTTAATAAGATTTGATTTCAATCCCAGGGCCAGAAAGCAATCGCCACTGCTGAATTTTTAGGATTTTCAGGGTGAAAGCTGATCATAGTCTAAGTGCAGCTTAGGTCTTTTGATATTTGGTGCAAAACATCAATCCCCTGAAAGAATGTTTTCCCAGTAATATGCTGCTATTTACAGAAGACAATCAAGACAGTCACTTTTTCAGATGCTATCAGCCAGACTGTAGCAATATGCTCTTCCTTATCAGCTAAACTATTGTATTTAAATTCCCCCAGGAGGTCATAAGAAGGAAAACCGGATTCCTTGGTTGTGAACATTCTTTATGTGGCATCAGAGAGCCCCTGTGAGCCATTTTCAAGACACAGAGAAACACACAGTTTAGTCAGAGAACACAAAATTTATCGACTAAAGTTCAGCGGTAATTTCTGTTTGGTTGGGTTTGATTGCTTGGCTACTTTTAAGATTGGATTTTGAGACAATTGTGACTGGAGTGTTGTCATGACTCGAAGGAGGTCTAAACATGGTAAGAAATCATTATTCTTTTGAACATTTGCAGCAAATGTGCCTCACGGTACTTTTTAAAGTACAGTTTTCTGTACTCCAAGAGCCACCGTTCACTTACCACACGATTATGTAACAGGGCTCCAAGATGGAAGCAGTAATGTCTACAGTAAAGGTCAGCAACAGGTGCTGGGCTTTTAATAAAAACATACAAAAGAGGCGGTTTGAACACACAGCTCAAATTGCAGCCAAGCATGGAAAACATGGATGCTCTGGTCAGTGTGTGTTGTGGAAAGGTTTGGAAAAGTGACTCAGACACTGAGGTCAGTACAGGAAGGGCTGCCCTGCACTAGAACAATAGCTGGGATTTAAACAATTCTTGCATAACTTTTCCAGCCTGCAGCACACAGACATGATCCTGTTATAACAGAACATGGGAAATTAAGTTTTTAGAAGGGTCTCCTTGTCCTTATGTAAGACATTGCAAATTTACATCTGCTTGTTTTGTTATTAACTGACAAGGGAAAACGCTACCTTCCCATTTTACTTTCTCGACTGTTAAAGAATAAAATCATTATGCTGTTTTTTCTTCACACAGATTTTGTTCAAGCTGTTTTCTTGATGGAGAGCTACGTCAGAAACAGCAGTTTTCCACCAAGGCGGCGTACACCAGAGTTGGGGGACGTAAGTCACCTGCATCTATAAACGAACACAAAAAAGCCAAAAGTGTGAACTATAGGTGTAAGGTTTGAATCACAGGAAGAAATATTGAAAAATCCATTCAAAAACCGAACACCTGTTATGAATTTTATGATTTCATAAAGCTTTAATGGGTACATAACACTTCAACACCAAAGGAAAAACACCTGTGAACTAGAACTGCATAAACGCATTAAGTGTTGTCCTCAAACCTAAATTACTTTCTGCCCTTGAAGCAGTTTATCTCTGCCTACAGACCCAGTTGAGCCAGGCAGCTGGATAACCTGATAAGTGTGTGGTCTATACAACGTGCTGCAGCTTGTGTGTTTTCCTGAACTACTGTACTAAACAAACTTTATTATATAGTACCTTCATGCAACATTATACCTCCTTTAATACCCCTGACCCCAATGTTTGTGTGGATTCACCCATTTTTTTTAACAGTTCAGCCAAGAAATGATGCAAATTTGTAACAAATAAGCCAGTTATTTTACAGAAAGGGTGCACATTTTTAGCAAGTTACTTGTTTGACTAAGACTTGTTTGAGTAAGGTTTGACATCTTTGAAAATTTCATCTCTAGCCTTCAAGAGTGAATTTGAGTTGAAATATACACATCATATTTGTCTACTCGCTGACGTGTTTTAACAGAAGGACAAAATGTTAAGGTTCTACATGCACACAGGTCAAGCTAAGTACGTCAAACACCGTTTTTAATTAGGTGGTAAAACTGCCAGAAGAGGCAGTCTCTCTGATGCAGTTTCTTGTGAAAAGCCAAAGAGCGCACACACGCAACGCAGCAACAGTGCGCCTGTGCCGCGAGGGATGGCTGAACAGTACACGACTCGACCTCAATGAGGCAGCAAGATCTGAGTTTGATGCAGGACCTGCCTGGAATTACTAGGAGGACAAAATGCGGAGTTATGAGTTCACGTTGTCGCCGTGTTGAGTCGCCGCTGTGCAGTAATGAGTGTGAGACGGGGCTATCCAGATTACTGTGCCGTGAATAATGTGTAGAGCTGCCGAGCTGCAGATCTTCTGACTGGGAAACTTGTTTGTCGGTTGTTTTGATCCGAAACAAGATGCATCTCTTTCGGACTCACAATTACCAAGTGTTCCCGGACCGCTG